TCGGAGCTCCCCCGGATGAGCCTGACCCAGCTGCTGCTTCAGCTTGGCTCCGACCTGGGGCTTGCACATCCTCTCAGCACAGCCCTCCTGCGTTCTGAAAGACTCACTGTGAATTCCAGCATTTTTAAGCTAGGCAGTTAGTAGATTTTACCAGTTTTAGTTGCTAAAGAGAAATTTATATTATTTTTTCCCCCTAAAGAAGCAGTAACTATATTCACACTTGACAAAACTTTGACATAAGGTCAAATTCAGATTCCGAGGTCTTGAAACAGAAATGCTTAAGCCACAGCCCCTTTGAAGCATCATTTGGCCTTAAATAGATTCTAAATTAGCCATTGCCAGCTGGCTCCATTTTCCTCTGGCAGCTAATTTACATATTGGATTACTTTCAAAACACAGATAATCTCATGATTTTTGCACCTTAATACTGTCGATAGCCAGGCTCTGCCCTCTCCACCATGGTGTCTCAGTAAATGATTTTTAACCCTAAGCCCAAGCCTGCTGTAGCTGCCCTCAATTCAGTCTCAAAAAAGTCACTCTCTCTCCAAATATCTTAGAGAGTTTTGTCCCAACTTCAACATCTAAAATAGCTGGCTGCTCCCAGAACAGCAGCGCTTCACCTGTTCTCCACTGCAATGGAGAGTGGTTTTGAACCTGGGATGGATGAGTATGGTGTACATCAGAAAGCCAAAACCTCACCTGGGACTGAGAGGAAAATACAAGCTTTTTAAACTGCAGCCACATGGTGTGAATCTTATACAAAAAATAATAATTCCTTGCAGCATCACTTCACTCCCAGGCTGGGAGAGTGAAACTTCTGAGCCTCCAGAATTTCCCACCGAGACAAGAGTAACTAAAATACGTTTTCTCTGAAAGTCTGAAGATGCCTCTCCATTTATTTTCCTCCCGAACAATGTGGGTGCTGTTTTGTGGGTGGGAATGTGTTTGATGTGATACAATGTGAAAGGAAAGAGGTTGGCTCTTTTATATCTCCAACTGAGGAATAAATTCTGCCCTTGGGGTGGAGATACTCCATGGAACCTTGCAGAACTTTGCAGCAGAGTGCAAGCTGGTCTGGGGTCTGTGGCCACCCCAAGACAGCTGCTGCTGCCCTGCAGTCCCCTGTCAGGAGAAGAGAGCTTGAGTGCCATGGGTAGAAGATAGATTCCTCCTAGAATAGAAAAAAAGGAGTAAAGTTGCTGTAAAGTTGTTGCCAGGACTTCAGAGATGTCAGTTATTTTCCAGAAACAGTAATTCCATGCAGGAAAAGGAAATGTCTGGTGGCTTTCCCTAGGCTGACTGGGAAAATCAGAGACAATTTTGAGGTGCAGACTGGTCTTCAGATATGAGGAAAAAAAATTCTTCTCCCTCTGACTTTGCTCTTCCATATCCTCTCTAATAAGAGCTATAGCACATTTCTCTCATGCTTTACAAGGTCAAAATCAGCATTGTATTTAATATCCTGTGTTGAATGCCTTGCTTAGAGAAACAATGCAACTACTCCTTTTTTGAGATATATTATCTTCATTTTAGATGGAGCAGGTGCACAGAGAGAATTTGTGCACAGGTCCAGAGCCGGTGCAAATGTGCTCCAGTAAGGCAGACAGATCTACAGATACAGTCTTTGAAACAAGTCTGCTCTTTGGCCTAACACTAGGGGAAAAAAAACCCACAGCTGCATTGGCTGCCAGAGTCACAGCAATTTGTTGGTGATGCTCAGTCTGCAGATCCCTGTGTTGGAGATGTTGGTGCTGTACACCAGTGGAGCTCAGGCACCTTTGCATCCACTTGGTGCTGTCTGAGGCAGGGTCTTGGGTGAAGATCAAGATTTCATACACAGGTTTTACTAAGTTTCTTCCTTTAATCCACTTATTAAATTTTCATAAGGCTGATTTAATTTTTCCTCTTTAAACTGAGCTCATCTAAGCAGTCCTACCTCTAATTTTGTTTCCTATCATGTTTGACTCCCAGAATTTCTCACTGCTGCTGCTCACAGTTTAAACATTTCCCCAGCAGCCTGAGCCAAAGTTATGATGCAGCTGAGCCTTGGGAGTGGTGGAGTAAGGGTTACAGGCATGTCCAAGGAGAATTAAACCTCATTCAATCCTCCTTCCTCAGAATGCTGAGTGAATGCCTCACCGTATCGACCATGCTGTTGATTGCTCTTAGGTGGTGAAGAGCATCTCCTGGGTGTCTGATTTCACAGGGCTCAGGTCTTTATTCCCTTGCTGCAGAAGGAAGACTGAAAAGTTGATATTTTCACAGTGTGGGAAACAGTTTCCTTCCTTGGAAGGCCATCAAAGACAGAGATGATGCTTTCCTCCTCAGGAGTATTGGCTGTCCACACTGTCCCAGAGCAAGCCCGCAGTCTGAGCCCTCCTCTGGTCTGAGCTAGCTCAAGACCAAACACATCTGGGTGATGTTGCTTCCCCTACTGTGACTCCCCAGAGAAGTAGGATGATGATTTAACTTTCCCAGAAACTCTGGAGGAGTGTTTTCACTTGTTTGAGCTGGCAGGAGGGGTGGCAGACAGTAATGAAAGCCTCTGCAGAACTGTGCATAGGCAGGGACTGGTCTGGGTCTGGTAAAAGATTGCTGTGTAACACTGACAAACAGCCAAGTAAACACAAAACCTCTGAGACCAGAATGATTTTGCTGCCCTGGTTGTAGCTTTTTCAAGAGCTGGAAAGTATCCCAGTCTCCTTGTCCAGCATATGGGAGGGACAGTGGACTGAGCAACTCCAGTGAACTTGCATGAAAACCATCACCTGAGCACGTCCTCCTCAGAAGGTGGGAAATGACATTAAAATGGCATTTTCGTGCAAAAACACCTCCTTCCTCAGCAGCAGCATGGCTCCCTGTGAGTGCAGCACACTCAGATCCATTGCTTATGTGAGCAGAGATGCTGCTTTTACTCTCTGTAGATCTTGCCAAGCCCAGACTAGAGAAGGAGAGAAGGCTGATGTCATCCTGAGTCCTACAGTCAAAACTGCTTTTGCTCACCATTAAACTGTGGTGAGAACATTAATACAAAAGACCCTCCTGGTTTTCAGTCTAATGTTGCCCACTGCTAATTTACATCTGCTTCTCCTGCATCCAGCAGGACCTTCCTTGAGGTTTACCCTCATGATTTACCAACCAACTCTTTTTTGGGGCAATAAAATGTCCTGGCTTCTTGTCACAGAAATTTACTTTGGCTGAGGAATCATGTGAGGTCCCTCCTTTTGGTTCAGGAATTCTATTTACTTATTGATATTTGATGTCACCTTACTTTATCATTGAAAACTTAATTAAAGACCCAGACATTCCAAAAAAGGAAGCTCACAGTACTTTCTTTCCTACATGAGCCATTTTCCTCTGAGTTCCACGTTTTTGTCACATTCCAAACCTCACACTTAAACGCTGACATATGGAGAATTCTTCAGGCACTGCTTCTCTACAGAAGGTGTATTTTGGCTTTAAAGCTTTATTCTCAGTCTTACAAAGGAGCAGAACCAAGAGCCTAGCCAATATTCCTTCTTCTGAGGCTCCTCTCTTTCTCTCTAGCAAGTAGAAAAATGCTCAGAAATCTGTACATAATCAAAATACAAAACTTCTGCTGATTTATGCAAAATATAGCTGAGAAAGGCAGTCAGCTCCTAGGAAATGGTGTGTGCTCACTGAACTCCATGAGGTCTTATTTACACATCAAACAAAACAATATTGTTGTACATAGACATTCATTTTCTTCCACAGAAGAGAGGAATTCTCTATCAGTGCTCTCCCACTGACTTGGTGAAGCATTCTGGAGAGAGTGAATGGTCCTGCCTATCAGACATTGAGGAAAGACTGCAGGACCTGGCACATTTATTTTGGAAAAGACAAGACATTATTTTGGGAAAGACAAGAGGGATCTAACTGCCATCTTCAGTTAATAACGGGGTTATGGAAGGTGCCAGAATCCCTGTGACATCTCAGTGTGGGCATTTTGCTGTGTCCACCTCTGGCTGGGTCTCAGAAAGCAACCATCAGCCACAGCTGAGGTAAGGAGAGGGCTGTGAACAGGCTGAGTCAACATTTATTTCTTCTGACAGTGATCCCTGCATGCAACCACCGAGAACCTTGGATTTTAGGCTGACATTCAGCTCTGATGCTGTGGCAAATGTGGAGGAAATGTCTGTCTGCCCCAGGTGCTCGTTAATGGGAAGGCTACTGAATAAATATTCATATTCTTGAATAAAAGTGATGGATCTGGATCTGTTCTTTGCCATCCTTCCCTTGCTTTACAGGCTGTTATGAAGTTAATGTGTGTGAAGAGAAGAATAAGGGAAAATACTGAAGCACAATACACTTTGATTTTATTTTAAAAACCCACTTGTCCCTGTCAGCTCCCATGATTTTCCTAACAACATAATTTGCTAAGAGGAGTTGAAACACCCAAAGCAGTGAGAGAAGCAGTCCATGTTCCCCTGCTCTCCAGTGAAGAGCTGCAGCGTGCGGGATGGTGCCAGCAATGCGACAAGGCACCCGGGCAAACAGCAGCGAGATGTCCTCTGTGCCAGTGCCGTTATTTTCATAAATGTCAGGGACTGAAATAGTCTCTGTGCAAGGAAACACAAGTCAAATCACAGGATAACTGGAAGGGATCCCTGGAGGTCTGTAGTCCAATCTTCTGCTGAAAGCTGGGAAGCCTAGAACCTCTAGACCGGGTTATGCAAAGCCCCACCCAGCTGAGACCTGAAAATTGGTGGAGGTGGAGGATCATAAAGAGTTCCAGATATGTGATATGAAAAAAATGTGAAATATTTTCATATCCAGATATGAAAAAAAATTACCAGGGTGTGAAAAAAGGAAATGTGCTCCTGTGAAGGCAAACCCAGGGCCCATGGACATATCCCAGAGAAGCAGCCAGCAAGGTGTTATAGACTATAGCAGAGGAAGGAGATAAAGCAGATAAAAAATCAGAGCAAATGGAATGTTCACGTCTTTAATGCAAGTTTCAAAATGATACTTTGATTTTTCTCAGCGGCAAAAAAAAAAATTGGAGTAGAAAAAGAGAAGGGTCAGCCTGGGAATGGAAGATCTTCTATTCATGATTCACCTAGAAGAGCTAGTCCTGGTTATAGTCTAGGAGAAAAAAAGAATGTACAGACATAATAAATAATTCCTTGTATTTTGTGAATTTAAAGGTAATTACACATTAGAAACCATATGGAGAAAATAACACTGAGGGGAAAAAATCTCAAAACAATTTCCATTTTGTACACTTGGAAAAAAAAATTTACATTTTTGTCCAAAATCTCACTAAATTTTTGACACTTTGTGTTTCTAAACTTTTTATTGGTTAATTTTTGTTTTCTGTCTTCTTTTTTCCCTTTGGTCTAAAAATTTGAGTGGATTTTTTGTTATTTTTGTTCCATCTTCTTTTCCTTGCATTTGGAATTGTCTTGCATTTGGTTTTTTGTGGGCAAACTGAACAGTGAAGTAAAGAAACTACTTGTGCTTATCCAAATCCTGTCTGAAACTACACTGGAAAAAGAAAATTAAAGAAGGGAAAGGATTAAACCCATCTGATCAGATGAAATAAGAACAACATATTGACCTTGTGTATATTTGTATCAAATCTCAGCATCAGAGTCTGAGTTCTATTGTTCATGATGTTAGTGAGAGGCTCTTACCATTATTATCTCCCTTTTTATAACAATGGAGCTACTTTCACTTTAATATCATATTTAGATTCCATGCTTTCAAAATAATTGCTTCAGTATCTGTCATTGTCATTAAAGGAAGGTATTTTGGATGTTTCCCCTGGGTCTGATCCAATTTTTTTCCTGAGAATTGTAGCAAGCACCCCCATCCCTCACAATGGAACTTTAGTGCCTAAGGAATTTAGTAATTTACCTTTTAAAATTTTAGCAGACTGCTGGAGTAGATAAAGACATTGTTCATTTTCATAGCACTGGATAAAAATACCTCAGGAACTTTAAAGCCTGGCAGGAAAGAAAGATCCAAGCACTAAAATAACACTTAAACAGCAAATAAAGAAGCAGATACCGTGCAGTTTGCCTTTGGAATAGAACCTCTTGGCCCACTGCTCCTCAGACAGGGATGGGATGGGCAGCTGGCTCTGCACAACCCTTGAGCAGCAGCACCCAGCAGAGGAAAGGGCTGCTCCTTTGGGACACTCCAAAGAGCCTGGAGACAAAGATGCACATCCAAACCCAGACAAATTCCAGACTCAGAATACTCCATCTGTGCTTCCTATTTCCCAGCTGGGAGATGAACTGCAGCTTGGCCCAGCCCCTGGAAGATGAATTTCTCCTCTGCACAAACACACCCATGAAGGTAAGCACTGCATTGTATCACACAGTTTAAGGATTAAGCGCCAGGGGACCATGATCCAGAGCAAGGTCTGCAGATGTTACTCTCAGACAATTGTGATTGCTGAGCTCAGCCTGGCCCAGCAGTTCTGTGATCACTTACAGAAGAGCTTATTTCAGCTGAATATTGCCCAGAAGCAAGGAGAAATACACAAAGCAAAGCAGAGGTGGTGGACCATCACCAGGTAAATGTCTAAAGGATGTTTTCTAATTATTTTGCTTCCTTCTATTTGCTACGCCTGCCCCAACCCTTGCATACACAGCAGTCACCTTGACAGCAAAATCTTCTGAGAAATGGGTGAGCTGGAGTGGCATTGCAGTTCCCTGGGGGCTTAGATGCCAGGCATCCCTCCCTCCCTGTGGGAATACTGAGGCTGCAGCCATACATATCCAATGTCCATGGGCTATATGCTACATTACTAGAAAATGTTCACTTTGAAAACTTTTTGGATCTTTCATGCTGTCAGAAATCTCCTCAGTGGCTACCCAGCTGTCTGGAGATACTGCTGCTCTCACAAGGATCCTCTAGAAGTGATTTCTTCCACAGAGAGTTTCCTTACAAGTTGCACAAAGTAGAGAAAATTGGAATGATGCTTCACTCCTCTCTTTTGATTTCTGCTTCTAGCTAGGAACAGGGCTTACCAGTAATCTTTCCTTTAAAATGAGCACTGGCATGTTGTGAGTTACTGCTCTGTACAGAGCACCTTTTCCTGCTGAGATTGTAATTCATGGTCCTTGCTGTGGGTGAAGTCACACCCTCCTTGCTTCCTTTTTTTGTCTTGTTCTGCTCTCTTTCTTTTTTCAACTTTTTTTAGCTTTCCTCATGAAGCAGAATTTACATCACTTGCTTTAAGCCTCCACATTGCAGCTGTCTGAATGAGTCACCCTGGAAAGCCAGAAAAAAGTAGAGTTTCCCAGGAAGTGACTGATCTGATCCACCTTGGGCTTGGCTAACTGCACCCTCCAGTCAGTTTGCTGCTAAAGGGAGATGGACAAAACCCACCAGTTTCATCCAGCACTTCCCCAGGGCAGCTGGGGCATACTCCAAAACACCTCTAACCCCAGCACCTCCCCTGCAGGACAGGAAAACCAAGAGCTACCTTCCTTTGGAACTCTGCCTTTGTTCCACCACTTCAATGTGTCCTCTGGGGATTGTGCATCCCCCAGACATCCCCCAGAGCCCACCAAGCACCCTTTGCATCGCAGCAGAGAGGATCCAGCTGGGACTGGCACCTCAAACAGGAGGGTCATTCTGATCCAGGGCTACCAGCAAGGTCTGGCCACACGAAAACACTGCAGGGCAGAGAGTGAGGCTCCACTGTGGAGCTCTGGCCACAGGGTGCCAAATGCCTGGGGCATTGGTGGGCTGGGCCTTCATCCTGCTCCTCCTCCTCCTTCACCAGACTCTTTATTACGTGGTACAAAGAGCCAAGCCCATTTCTCTTTCCTGCTCACAGTTTTCTCAGGTATAACCACTCCACTCTGTTTCCATGGGAGGCAGAAGATTCCTGGTGGAAGCTTCCCCTGGGTGAAGCTGGCAAAGCAAAGGGGACTTTGGCATGGAGAAAGCTGCTCCACAGCTCTGAGTTAGAAACTCTGTGATGCCCATGGGCATGAGCTGTTTCCTGATGTCACAGTAACACCAGTTCCACACAGATGTGACACAAACACCGCTGTTTGATTGCTGATAATGCTGTTTTAGGACCTGCCATACCAGTTGTCTTCTCAGATGGGTGACCCTGTGGTGCTGGCTGTGCCCTCTTCCTGGGCCGGGACAGCGAGTGCTGCCACTCTGTGCCTCAGCTGACGTTGGGTCTGGGGCATACTGGGCTTTCCCTCACCTCCTCTGCTGTCCCAAAGTGAAAATGCTTCTTCCAGTCTTCAGAAGAGTGCATGAGAAGAGGAGAGAGGAGTATGGAGCAGGAGGGCAAGGCTCAGTGCAGCAGGTTTTGCTTGCACAGAGCAGGAAGGTTAAAGCTGCCTTCGCTCCAAAGTGGAATTTAGGGAGCAGTCCCATAACAAGAAGAATTCATTTGAGTAGAGAGAGATCAGAGGAAAGATAGAACACACCCACCAGTGGCACTGGGACATGTCATATCACTGCTTTCTGCTTGCTTCTTCTCACTGTGGATGTGGTGGATGAGGTGAAATTGTCCTGTCTGCTCCCACAGCTGTCTGGAGTGTAAGAAGCTTTATTAAATGTTCAGTGGCAATTCTTCAGTTTGAGGAATCATCTGAACCCTCTCATTAACATCTCCCTCACTGAAACTTGCTGGATCACTGGCTTCTATACACAATTACTGTATTTCATACTCTACATCCTGAAGTGTATCACACTGCTATTATTCAGGGAATTAAAGATACACTGGCTTATACTTTGCATGCTTTCCATTTCTCCCTCAAAATCTGCAGCACACAAATTTCTTGCTCTTGAGTTAAATACACACCACAAGGCTGGTTTCTTGCTTTCTGCTGAACAGTTACTCTGCTTTTCTTGTTCTACACACACAGAAAAGAGCAATATTCCAGGCAAGATGAGGTGTCAGATATGATGCCTTCCAATTACACTGCTCCTCTGAAGGTAGTACCTGACCAAACCTTCCTTGGTTGTCAACCACAGTGGAGAAGTCTGCATAATTTTCTATTATCACTCCCTGCTCTGTTGGGTGTGCTCTTTCTTGGGCTTTAACTTTTCATTGGTGTCTTGATTTGACTTTGCAGTTTGCAGGACCGGGAGAGCTTTGCAGTGAAGAGTGAAAAGGCACTGATGGGAATTACTACCAGACACAGCCAGAACAACTCATTTCCAGTTTGAAGAATGTCTTACAAGAATCACTTTCACAGGGCAATCCTTCATTTTTCTTTTTGGCAGATGGGTTCAAAAATGCTTCAGAGATAGTGGAGAGAGCTGAGTCCTTTCTGGGCTGCTGCTACCACAGCACCAGCAGCCATGGCAGCACAGCTGCCTGCCTGGGAGGGTGGGTGG